ACATCTGAAATGTGATCTCAGTGACTTTGTCAGTGGCGTGACTGTTTGTGCCAGACAGGCTGGTATGAGTGTTTCTAAAACTGCTGATATCTGGGCATATTCGCCTCCTAATAGTCTAGAGCAGTGGTTCTCAAACTGGGGATCGGGACCCCCATGGGGGTCCCAAGATAATGTCAGGGGGTCGCCAGATCATTGCAAAAAAATAAGTAAATTAAAAAAACAAAAAGCCTACATTAATCAAATAAATTTGGATTAGGGCTGTCAAAATTAAAAGTTTATACTTCTTCTCACTCCTTTTCAAACTTATAATTTGATAATGCAATATTATTATTCTTTTTGGCTCTTTTAAAAATAATTTTCTTTCGTTTTTATATATTTTTTCCCCTTTCATTTGTTAGGAATAAAATCAATTCATTCATTTATACCTTGCAAACAATCTGGGACTTGCCAAAATTTTAAATCTTATTTTTAGGCACGATAGATAATTTGGCTTGTTTTAAAAGTTATTTACTCATTTTTAGTCCTGGACTTTACAGTACAATCTTAAAATGAGCATTGAAAATCTTATTTCAAGATTTCTTATCAAGTAAAATTTACTTGCTGCATGGACGGATAGTTTCACTAGTTTTAAGTCATTTTCTTCTCAAATTTAGCATTTATATCTTATATTTGGGCTGCCCTTTTTCGCAGTGTACAAAAGAAAATTAAAGTGTTAACGTAAAGAGATTAATCTGTGGAATTAACATTAATTTTTAACGCATTAATGCATGAACAACAAAGTTATTACTCATGATGTATTAATATTTTAAATAACTTATGTTATCTTGGGGGTTGTGACTCAAAAAGTTTGAGAACCACTGGTATAGAGTTTACTTGGGAGTGGTGGTGGAGAAAAAAAAAAAACATCCAGTGAGCAGAAGTTCTGCAGCCACATAAGCCCTGCTGATGAGAGAGAACAGAAAAGAATGGGCAGCCTGGTTGGAGCTGACACAAAGGCTGCAGTAACTCAGTTAACCCTCTATACAGCAGTGATAAGCAGAAAAGTATCAGAACACATTCACCCTCAAGGCGGGCGGGCTACAACAGCAGAAGACCACGCCGGGATCCGCTCCCGCCAGCCACGAGCAGAAAGGCGAGGCTGCACAGGCTCACCAGAACTCGTCAGTTGAAGACGAGGGGATCTGCTGAATCATCTCTGCTGATGCTGCAGGTGCTGTAATGAATTCATGAACCCAACCTACCAACACTTCAGGCTGGTGGTGGTGTGCTAATGGTACAGGGAATGTTTTCTAGGCCTCCTAATACAAATCAATCATTGTCTGACTTTTATTAACATGACAGCGAGTTTGGTGTACTCAAGTGGTCTCCCCAGCCACCAGCTCTGCAATCCAATCCCCAAGAACACCTTTGGGATGTGGCAGAACAGAAGATTGACAGTGTGAGCGTGCAGCTGACAAATCAGCAGAAATATGATGCGATGTTACCCGGTTAACACGGAGCAGGATCTCAAAGGATTGCTACCAATAGCAGGAATCACAATAGTAATATAGTAGTAATAACAAAAGGAAGAGGACTAATAGGAGGAAGAAGAAGCAGAAGGGGACATTTCTAAGCCTTTTCCTCATCCATTCTCCTCACTCTCTCTACATTTAGAAGATCTACACTTTCACTAATGATACTTCTAAAAGTTGGGACTCAGAACTCACTTCTTAAAGTGTCCCCAATCCTTCCTCCTTCTCCTTGAATTCAGCCAAGTCTTTATCTTTACACAATTTCCTTCATCACCCATAAGTTCTTATGTGATCCCTCCTCCTGTCACCAGAAGCCCTTGGTTACTTCAATCACTTATTCTACACACCCACACACCACGGCTCTGTATCTCCCTCTCTTTCCCTTTTTTTTTTTCTCCCACTATCTAATTTAGCTCTGGGTTTTGGTGGAAAAAGTACAGTTTGCAGCCTCATCCCAAGCAAGTGGGCTCACAAAACAAAGAGCGTTAATGTGCCGCTATCATACAGCAGTCATCGTGCTCTTCCAACTGTTTAGGCCTGAACTAAAGACTAGAGAGAAGGTTGCACACTCACCGAGTACATACAGGTATACTCTTAAACACCCACACATGCCTAAATGTACTTTTGTACACGTCACGACTGCACTAAATAGTGTGTGTGCTTAGACAGAGCATATTCGGGGAAACAAGGACATAGCTCGAATTAATCTCCTTGTTTTATCCAAATTAAAATAAGTAGAACTAAATGAATCTTGTTTCAAAATCTGACTTTTAATGCGGTCTCCGTAATCGAGTGTGGGATCTGGCACGATGAACAAGAGGCTTCCCACAGAGCAGACACAATATACGACTTTGGTTGTGAATGCTAATAGGCGACACTGAAAATACTTACAGCTACAGAAACTTATTTCATTTAAAGGATCAAAATTGCTGACGACATCCTGCAGTCGCATTACAAAACACTTAAACTCACGGGGTGAGGCGCATTACCGAAGCCGAAACATAAGCGCACCGGCCACTGAGCCGGCTATGTTGTGACAGAGAGGAGAGAACTCGGCGTGAGCAATTTAGCGTCAGAGTCATCAGTGCATCGTTTTAAAAAGTGCACCCTGTAATGGGGCTCAGGCTGCCTTTGTTTCTTGTGTTGCCTACGGGCAGAAATTTTGGCAAAGAGGAATCCTCTGCCTGACGTCCAGCTATTCGTTCTCAGCCGCTGCTTCTCATGTCGAACTGGTCTGCCTCTTTCTCCCTCTGTTTGATCGTCTCATTCCCCTCTACTCTACAAAACCGTCTTTTGACTCACGATTTTATTTTAAAAAATCACGAGCATTTGTCCTGATTTCACTGCCTTTTGTAACGAAACAATAACTCCGATCGAAACTTTCCCCCTCTCACCCCCGAACACATGCAACACACGTAAATCTATTCCCAAACTCGTCAATCACGGGTCATGGATGAAAACGGATATTTATGCAGAGAAAATGTGGTTGCAATAAATCTTGAGTTTGGCATGTCTCTTACAGAAGCTAAACAGCATCTCCTACAGACAAAATATGAAACAGAAAGAAAGAAAGAAAGAAAGAAAAATGCAACTCTCAAGATGCCCCTACTATTCACCTATTCATCTTCAAAATGTTTTGCAGAAAGAAAAAAAAGAGTAAAAAGATATATGACAAAGTCTTCAGGGCTGAACACAAGAGAAGAAAAACTACAAAAGCATCACAGTTCAAAAGACAAAGAAAAATGTTGTATTCTGCACTAGTTCACCTAAAGTAACCGAGTGTCCGAGCGTTCACAACTACAGCATTAAATGCAAAAGATTTTTTTTTAAAAAGCCAGAGAAGGGCAAAGAATGGGGTTCAAAATAAAAACAGAGAAACAGTTTATACTGTGGACTCACATCCTGGAAAAGTCGTCTGTCCTGCGCCAGACGTTTGGAGGCGAGGGTTTTGGTGACGTGATAGAAGGTTAGCAGCGCTCTGTGCTGCTGCAGGCCATCTTGACCCTTCACGGACTCGAGCAGAATTGGGATGAGCTCCGGCCATTGCCTGGGGCAGTCCAGACGGGCTACCTTGGCTATCAGTACTGCGATCTGGGTTGCTATCTGTTGGAAAAAACACAGAGACAAAAAAGATGACCGCCGGCAACATATAAACACAGCAGAAGGTGGCTACGCCGAGGAGAACTTGATGGGGATTTAGATCTGGAGCATTTTAAATAACTACTTGCATTTCGGATGTTTCTCTCTGCAGCTATATCATCCTTTACATCTCTCCCCTGTTACAAAATAGCCACATTGATTAAAATGGATTTGAAAACACTGCAGTCATTAAACTTTTGTCAGGTAATATTTCCTGGCACGACAACGGGCTGAGCTGAGCAGCTACCGCTCAAGTCTGCTCATGTCTTCAACACAGAATTGGGTTGAGACACTTAATCGTTTCAGATGAACAGGGAAGTCAATCATCCAGACTGTAAAGGACACTTCAGTATGTAGTGGGCGTTGTATAGTAAAAGATAAAAAGGTCCTCCTGTAAATATGTGAACACACAGCCAGCATGTCTTTTCATATTCTAAAACATATGTGGATTTTATGTCTAGCAAGTTCATTTTGTCTATTCCGAATTAGTACTTAGGTTTCTTCTTTTCAGACAATAGAATTTTAGGAGATGCTTCTTTACCTTCCGACTGGAACTTCAGTCTTCCTCAGAGGCGTCAGCTGATCGCCGTGACGTGTCATTTATTTGGTGTTCCTTATGGGCGTGGCCAATCTGACAGATCTGTCAGTTCTGTCAGACTGGCCACGCCCCCCGCCGCCCACCAGTGCCTGCAGGAGAGAGTCCCAGGTGTGTGACAGCATGAAGGTGCCTTCATTCCGGTTGATCGTTGTCCTTCCCCGTCTTCTGATCTCGATGGCCTCCTTGATGAACCTTTTGTGTTTATTGCTTTCTGATGTTATGATTCTTGTGTCCATGATGTGGTTCTGTCGTTTGCAGTGGTCTGGTATTGCTGATTTGTAGTTTTCCTGTTCGGCTTTCAGTTTTCCTGTTCGGCTTTCAGTTTTCCTGTTCGGCTTTCTGTTTTCCTGTTCTTGTGAGACGTCCTGTTGTAACCTTTTCACACTCCTTCTGATGTTCCTTTTTTCTGATATTAAAACTCCTTCCCGTTTCCCCAATGTACGTGGAATTGCATGATTTGCACGGCATTTCATATATGACGTTGCACTTTTGGTCGTTTTCTATTTTGTCCTTGGGATGAACTAATAACTGTCGGAGTTTGATGTGGGGTTTGACGGCCGTGTTCATGTTGTGTTTCCTTCTTGCTCGTTGCCCATAAGGAACACCAAATAAATGACACGTCACGGCGATCAGCTGACGCCTCCGAGGAAGACTGAAGTTCCAGTCGAAACATGAAAGGTAAAGAACCATCTCCTAAAATTCTATTGTCTGAAAAGAAGAAACCTAAGTACTATATGTGGATTTTGATTTGATACCTCACACATCCTGCTAAAGAACTTCACTTTTCACAGTTCTAGAGTAAACATAGTGTGAACATAAACATCCAGCTGAGTCTACAGATGTTGTTTGTTTGCATCCATCTATTAAAGGTGTGTTTTTTTGGTCAGGAAACCAGCGACACACTCAGATGTCTGTTCATGAGGTGCAGTCGTGTAGTCGAATGCAACAAATCTGAGGCATTGAATTTATGTTTCTGGTCATTTTAGAGGCTGTGGTGATGCTGGATTGCATCGTGTTCGACTAAGAAGCGTCTTTTTCCAAACAAGGCTGATGCTTGATGCGACCTAATATGTTCAGTGCTGGCTGTTTCACTTTTTTTTTATTCCCAAATTCATTAAACTAGCCATTTCCACCCCATTACTGTTTTACAGCGCCACTAAAAACCTGCTAGAGACGAGAGAATTATTGCATTGTCTGTAGAACGCATGCTTTGCTAAACACAATTACGTGCCTGCTCAATACCTTCAACAGGCTAATTGGACTAAGTAATAAATAATGAATAAGCATGCAAATGGTCGCTTAGTCATTGTGCTTTCCACGAAAACCAAACGAGGACACAAAGTTTGCTCTGATTATAGAACTTCTAAACATACACAATCCACCAAAACGCTCTCTCTTACTTGCACAAAAAAAAAAAAAAAAACACAACTCTTTTGTGAGGTTTTGATCGGACAAGGAGAAGCTGCAACTGGTGAGACATATGGTGTTTAAATTGTGTTCATTGCTCGCCATATGGACGCATTCAGCCCTGATGTGAGGCAGCTGCCCCCTAGGGACATACATCCTGTAGAAACCAGGATAGATGGCCATAATTTAGGGCCACCCTCCTTGTCCCCACCAACAGATATATGTATAGGCTGCTTGATTCCTCAATTATATGCTTGTTACAGCACTCCCTTGCACTGACAGTGACAAAAATGGCTGATCAGGAAACGCACTGATGATAAAATACGGACAATTTTGTGCCTTTCATCTTTTTTTTTTTAAATCTCGTACTATGAAATAACATTTCCCTTTGACAGACTACAGCATGTCACAAAGTGTTACGATGCTTTTTTGTCAGTTCCCAAACAAAGGTTGTTTTATTTTTAATCAATATACGATGATAAAACACATTTTATTTTCTTCCATTTTGTAGTGTAAATCCTATTTTTCTCCCCCCCCACCACTAACCTGATTGACAGGCTCGTTGAAGTTTGTGATGAGACCAGCACGCAGTGACGTCTTCTCCTCTTCTGATAGCGCGCTGTAAACAAACCAATCACAAAGATGTTCAGAGGGAGTAAGTAGGCCAGGAGGGAGCAAAGAGAGAAAAAACTGTACTTAATATAGACAAATAAGAACACTGAGGATGAGGATGAGGAGGACGAGGAGGTGGAGGATGAAGATGAGGATGAGGATGAGGATGAGGATGATGAGGATGAGGATGAGGATGAGGATGAGGAGGTGGATGAGGATGAGGAGGTGGAGGATGAGGATGAGGATGAGGAGGTGGAGGATGAGGAGGTGGAGGATGAGGAGGTGGAAGATGAGGAGGTGGAAGATGAGGAGGTGGAAGATGAGGATGAGGAGGTGGAGGATGAGGATGAGGAGGTGGATGAGGATGAGGATAAGGATAAGGAGGAGGAGGAGGAGGAGGATGAGGAGGTGGAGGATGAGGATGAGGAGGTGGAGGATGAGGAGGATGAGGATGAGGATGAGGATGAGGAGGAGGATGATGACGCCTCTCAGTGACCACATTCACCTGAACACACTATCAAACTTTACAGGTGCGACGGTAAAACACAACTTTCAGCTNGGAGGATGAGGATGAGGATGAGGATGTGGAGGATGAGGAGGTGGAGGAGGAGGATGAGGATGAGGAGGTGGAGGATGAGGATGAGGATGAGGATGAGGATGAGGATGAGGAGGATGAGGATGAGGATGAGGATGAGGAGGAGGAGGAGGTGGAGGATGAGGAGGTGGAGGATGAGGAGGAGGAGGAGGATGATGATGACACCTCTCAGTGACCACATTCACCTGAACACACTATCAAACTTTACAGGTGCGACGGTAAAACACAACTTTCAGCTGTTGCCCTTTTTGTCGACTCAGTGCATCGTCTTTACTCATTCACATCATGTTGCACATTTATTGAATCCATTAAGATTTTATACACATACAGACACAGAAATAAAAGAAAAACAGATTCAAACATCAGGCTGGAGGAACATGCATACAAATTCTTTCCTCCTCGACTCCAAAAAAAACAAAAATCAACTCATTCAAGCTGAAGGTGAGAGCGCTAATGACAGCAGGGCGGCATCGGCAACAGTATTCGATTAAATGTTGGATCCCTAAATAGCCTGCACAAGAAATACTGGTTGGCTAAACCAATTCTTTTTGATTTCATTCATGTGCAACGCAGGTTAACTGTTGTGTCGGAGATGATCTGTGGGCCTCCTTTCCCTGCGCTATTGTGCAGAAAATCAGCAGATGACGTCCCATAAAACCGGCACAACTTGGCCGTAGTTTAATCTGAAAAACCATAATACGGCTGCATTTAGGCTGTGCCAGAGTAAACCGGCATCAAACAACTCAACTGGAGTATTGCGCACACACATTAAGCACAGGCGTGTGGACACCAGCCTACGAAGGTGTTTATTTTTGATGCTATCTGTTTTGTTTGTTGTTGATTTGTGCAACGTTCACGGCGCAAATCGAGACTCATTTCAGCTGCATTTAAAATACAGTTTGGAGAATGGGTCTCTTAAATGGCTTTTTTTTTAATAATATATGACTGACTTTAGGAGTTTTCTGAGTGCTTTCATACTCACACACTAGTCCCAATTAGAATTTGCATTTAATTGACAGGGAAATTAATCTTTTCTTTATGCTGACGTGTCTCCTTGCATTCTTCACTCGTGTCTCTTCCTCACATCTTAGCTGCTCCTGGCGAGGACGTGAGAGAGAGAGATGCAAGGAGGAGAGGAGACATGAAGACGGAGAAGTCGTAGCTGCCAAATGAGAAATCCTTCGCTCCACAGTGTCGGCCTTAAGTGACGTCGGGTGCAAAATGATGCACAGCTCCATCACCTGTCAGATCAAACTGGCGCCCATGAAAGCGGCAGCGGTTACACGTCGCACCACATGATTGAAGAGCTCCACGTAGGATACACCTGTGCTTCCTTGAGCTTCTTCCTCATACCTTGAGGTGCGAGTAATTGGAAGATCCCCATGATGGGTGGAGGGGGAGAGGAGAGGAGAGGGGATGCATAAGTTAGCATAATGAAAAGCACCCCGTGGCTACACAGAGAGCGTAGCGTGAGCAGCACGTTTAGCAGACATCATCTGTGGGTGTTTCTCATTATGCTGTCTCCTCACTTTCCTGACTTGTGCATTTGCTGTAAGCTCCTCCCCATTAAAGATGTGACACACCTATGTTTCCTCATCTCTTCTCATCTCCATAAGATGCATTCAAGTAAGATCCTCCAAGAAGATGGAGATGGAAAAATAAATCAGTCGTTTGAGACAGGCGACTCAGAACCTCCTGTGCAAACACTCAGCATCTCATTTCGGATTCCAGACACCACAGACTTCCAATATAACGAAGATATGAATATAAAAATCTGCCGACTTGTTATGGGATTTAATAAATTGATTAAATGTGTGACACTCTACAGTATAGGACCTGCCAACTGCTTAATTTAATTAGTAAACTTTGGATCAACCCGCTGCTACTCTCCGATTCAGATCATGTAGTCTGCAACAAGTTTTTTTTTTATTTTCCAAGCAGAATATGGAGTTTGTACAAAATAGCGACAGTGTGAATATTTACCCTGTGCCGTCTATTTCAACTACTGCTGAAGCTCGGCAGAGGGAGAGAGAGTTTGATGTGAGGAAGAGTGAGGAGTGAATCATGCTGTAACCCTGGGCAGAAAGAGATATGGGTGGAAGAGAAATTACTAGGAGGGAGTGTGTGTGCGAATTTTTTTTGAAACGAGATTTGCTACACATACATATTTTGGGAATCTGGGGGTTAGGCGAGCTTTGAAGAAATACAAGACGAAAGATTAAAAGATACAGTATATTAACATAAGCAAGAGAGTGCCTGAGCTACGGTTTGTGTTTATGAGGAAAGACAGAAAAAAAAGACAAATAGGCAAAGGCTAAAGATGACTCAGAATGCACAGAGAGCGGAGATATCCAGAAAGAGAAACACTAAAACCTCAGATGTTTTCAGTTTACCCACATAGCAGGTTAGTGGGGATACATTTCCAAAGATTGATTTCAAGAAACAATGCAGAACAACAGCAGATTTGCCGTGAAAACGCTTTTTACCACAGCTGTGTGTAGCTCAGGTGAGTCATTCACTCAGCAGGTAGTGCCAACGCTTCATACTGTCGTTTTCTCAACAGGTACGACATTACTTCTGCGAGGATGCATTTCAGTGTTAATCCATTAGATGAGTGTGCCGCTCGTTTCCACGTCTTCTTAGCAAAACACTGAAAAAACTATTTAGAAGCCCTTTCAAGGGAGAAGACATCAGCGAACAGGAATGAGCATGCTTGTCAGCAGTTTGACAGAATTATGCAAATGCATGCATTCTGCACCTGGCTTATAGAAACTGGATGTGTCTTGTAAGCCTGTGTAGGCCGGCATGTTTATGGGAATGACAGATTTAACACAAAAAAAAGCATTATAACATCAAACTATGGCACAGTATGTTCAAAACCAGCTGCTATCAAGTTGACAAGATGACTCACATCACATCAAGAGTCTGGCTTTCTTTAAAATATTTAAAATACTGACAAAGTAGATGAAAAAAAAAACAACAGCAAAAACTCCACCATATACACTGAATCGAAATATCTTCCACAAAATATAACTGAACCATCGTTCATAAACGCACAGCCTGGGAGCATTAGATCAGGAGTTTTCAATGCTGTAAGAAGTGTGGTATGTATTATGTACAGCTCATAACAAACCTTGAAACAACAAGAGGGGGGAAAAAAATCCCATAAGTTTAAGTTTAGAGCAGCTAAAAGGGTCGTGTCATGTTTAAATAAACCTACAAGCTCGCTGGCTTTTGACGAAAAAGTTTAATATCAATATTATATTTAATGTATAGAATAGTTTGTAGTCAAGTTTTAAAAGGTGGACATTCTTGTAGTTTTGTTACTGGTTTGCTTTTCTGTTTACATTTGTGTCATGTTCTGAAGAAAACCATCATGTAATGTGCCAAACAAATACATTTTGATTGATGATGTTTTGTATACGTTCATTATCCATAATCCTCAATCTATTACTGAAAGGCAAAGAGAGAAAGTTTCCCAAGTTGTGAACAAGCGACTGACCTTTTCATAGCAGCAGCACAGGTGGAACTAATAACATCAATGATGGCGCCATTACCCTTAAGCGGCACAGTCATGCCAATGAGCCGGCATGCACGATGCCAGAGGTGTGGAACTCACAGCCATAATGGAATGTAGTCATTTTTCATTATGACCCAGGCATGGGTTGTTTTTTTTTTTTGTTTTTTTTTCTAGCTATGGCGTGTTGTAATGATTGTCGTCTGCTCACAGAGGGACTGCTGCAAAAACCTCACATCAACCAGGATGGTGCACTGACTGCTAATTAAATTGTACCTGCACAAGGAGAATCGTACGACTGCAATTTATCTAAACGTGAGAACATCATCACAGAACTATTATCTATACACCGCTTAATCCTCACTAAGGTCACAGGAGGGGCAGGAGTCTATCCCAGCCGACTTAGGGCGAAGGCAGGTTCACCAGTCTATCACAGGGCTACACTTAGAGACAGACAACCAAGCACACTCACATTCACACCTACGGACAAATAAGAATCACCAATTAACCTCAACATGCTTTTGGACTCAGCACTGTTGCCTCGCAGTGAGAAGGTTGCCTGTTCGCGTCCCGGTGGGGGCACCAGGATCTTTCTCCCCGAGCAGCATGGGTTCTCTCTGGGTTCTCCGGCTTCCTCCCACACAGTCCAAAAACATGTTGAGGTTAATTGGTGATTCTAAATTGTCCGTAGGTGTGAATGTGAGTGTGCTTGGTTGTCTGTCTCTAAGTGTAGCCCTGTGATAGACTGGTGACCTGTCCAGGACTCCAGCCCCCCATGACCCAAATGAGGATAAAGCGGTGTATACATAATGGATGAATGGATGTTTTTGGACTGTAGGAGGAAGCCAGAGAACCTGGAGAGAACCCACGCTGCACGGGGAGAACATACAAACTCCACGTAGAAAGATCCCGGGTGTCCTCATCGGGACACGAACCGGCAACCTTCTTCCTGCGAGGCAACGGTGCTAACCTTGCAGCCCATCACAGAACTAAATATAGGGAAATATGTCAAAATACAGCAATTTACCAGTCATATCTAATGATTTTAACTATATATATGTAGGTCAGACTGCTTGCTGTCTTCACTAGATCACTGGCAGTGCAACAAAACTCCTTCATCATATCATCTTTTCAGACATGGATTCGATCATTTTTCAGATCAACGAAACAAAAAGAATGACAGACAAAAAACTGCTTTGCATCTTCTACGTCAAGTTTCAGGGAAATATTACCTAAATACGATTTTCAGTGGTTGTCTAGAAGCTGGTTTATGCAAAAACAACCTAATTTCATGAAACTCGGTGAAGAGGTGAAGCTTGGCCAAATATAATTTTGCAGATCTGGATCCATTCGGCAAGGTAGTACCTTGGCTTTGGAGAATGGCTGGACTCTCCAAGTACCCTTTCCAGTGATCAAAATAACAATAATAATAACAGCAGCAGCAGCAGCAAAACTGTATTTCACACTATGATGGTTAAACTTTGCAGTTGATCCACAAGTCATATTTGTGCCAAACTGTGAGCAGGGATCCATACATTTCACAGATCAACTACAGTCTCTTACGCCACTGAACACAAAATGATGAACCCAGCTTCAGTTCGTTGCTGCACATCACAGTAAGTAACAACATCATAAAAATGCCATGTGATGGGGTTTTCGCTTCAGACACTGAAACGACATGTACTGTGCTGTGTTGCTGAGAATGCAGCTCCTGGGTAAATGGCAATGGTTCAAAGGTAATCACATAAATAGCCCAAGAAAATCCCTTGCACAGCACTTTTGCAAATGAAATTCAGTTTACCGAACTACTGACAGGAGTAAAACAACTTTGGTAATAGGAGAAAACTTTACAAAGAAGGAAGAGAATAGCAATAATTTGATGCGGTCAAAGAGTGGGCCACAGAGTGCTGAGGCAGGACTGATTACCCCCGGCCGGCCGCTGTCCTGTGAATTTAAGAGCAAAATGCTCAATTCAAATCTAACAAAAGCCTGCTAGTCAGGTACCCAAAGACAGCCGGCGAGCTCTGAATACTCAAAGCCGATCTAACAGCAGACAAAAGCGGCACAAAAGAATAAACTTGGTATAAAATCAAATCACAATGATATGAATAATCAGGATGGAAGGTAAAAAAAATAAAAATCAGAAAGATGGTGGCTATGGAAAGTGCTGGAGAGAGAACTGCAGACGTAAGCTATAACTGGTAAAAGAAAAGACAATGAGAAAAATGAAGGCAATGAGACAGCGAGACAAAACAGGAAAACGCGACGACAAATCTGTGACAAAAAAGATCTGAGGAGGACGACAAAGCCTCATAAACAGGCAAAGAGATTAGGACCGGTGAATAGAGACGGTGCGAGATTGGATGAGACAATGAGCGAGAGTGCAGATGCACAGCGGAGGAGAGAAGAAGTAAAAAAAAAAAAAAAAGCCTGAGATGGAAAAGTGAGAGCGTGCGCCGCTGACAGCAGAAAGGGAACGAGATACACAAGCAGGCACTTACTGAGGCGCTACTCTCCTCCAATATCTGTCAATGCCATTTTTGAAGTACAGCACAGCCAGCCACCTGACGTTCACATCCAGCATGTGGTTGTTGAAGATATTCTGTTGAAGAGAAAACACATACGCTCAGCTAACACCGCATTGTTAGCTCAAATATGGAGGCAATTTAACAACTGGCTTGGTTTAATAAACTGGAACAGCTGAAGATACTTTAGTGGGAAATAAAAGGGCATCGACCAAACTGAGGTGCAATGACGTAAACCTGTGATGCTATCAAGCTACTCTTTAGGGACAGCTCTATTGAAGCACATGGCACATCGACTCTGTGATCGTGACTCAATAATCCGACACTAAATGTAAAACCTTCTCTTTTGTCGGATAGCAAGGCTGTCGGATTGTCAAGACGGAGGTCCAGATACAAGGAGGGCTTGATGCTGGAAGGCTCATTTGTTGTTAATATTTATTGTTTATCGTTGTTGTAATAACTAGTAAGTCTGGTCTGAATAGCACTTTCTGGGCTCAATTAATGATGAATATCAGAATATTCGGTGTGGTCGGGAGAACATTTCCACCCAAGGGGAGCGCTCCAACGGGTTGGAAGTGGCCGGAACACACAGGCAGTTCTTGGCTGCTGATGGCAGTTTATTTAGCGGTCACCCTTCTGTGTCCACCATCAGTGGCAGCAGGTAAGTGGGAGATACGCTCCACCGTTACCATCTATGTCTACTTCCATAAACACTGAGCACGCTCGCTGCGTGTGACGTCGTCGTGTCCTCTTCTGCGCAAGCAGGACACTTGTGGGTCGTATGAAGTTCACACAGCAGATCACATACAAGTCGCATTTCATTGGAAATGTGAACAAACTCACAAAAAAATCTGATTTCACAAAAAAATGCGAAATGAGCATTAAGTCCTGCAGTCTGAACGTAGCCAATCTGTGGGATTGTTCAGTCAGATAATACGCCGTTATCCTGATTGGTGACATAAAATGTCATGTCAGAGTCGGAATCAAAGGCTGTTGGTATGTTAAGGCTGTTTTTTATGGGTTCTGTTCGTTTTTCCTAAAAACCTGTCGGATAGAAGTTTTTCAGATTGTTAAAGGTCGGATTATCGAGTCACGACTGTAGTTTAACTTCCTGCGAATGCAATATAAACATTTCTGAGCTGTGAAATGCAGCCATAACCCTGGAAAATGTCAGAGTGCTGTCGGTGTTCTCAAAGTCGTTCTCCTGCACGCTGCAAAAACAGGAGCTCCATAAAGAGCAGCACAGTAATATCACAGATTAGAATCTTGGCTCCAATATTTTCAGGTTCAGGAGGTGTGGAAGGAAAAAACATGAGCTAAATAGGAGGGTTTACGTTTTGCTTTAATACAGATATAAAACATCCATCTGTTGTATCAAGGGAAACGAAGGCCATCAGCGGAGCTGCACAGTCTGAGTACTTATTTGAATATGCAAGTAAAAACCAGCCTACTGCCACTAAAAGTTTATTAGATCCATCAGTGAAATTTAGCTGGCTTGGCTGACATCTGATTTACTAATGTCGTCCGTCCACATACAGGGACAGAGATGCTCATAAACTAAATGAGGCAAGACACATTGCACACCTTGGCTTAATTGCCATGGACCACGGCATCACCGGCAGCTGCACAAAATTAAACATAAACCCAATTTTGTTGAGAACATCTTCTGAAACGCTGAGTCATCTGTGACTCCAGGGAGAAAACACTAGAAGAGAAACTAGAAGCTCAACTGATATCAAACCCCCAGGGCTCAACACCTCAAAGGACTCAACGTTCTGATAAAAAAGAAAGAAAAAAAAAACAAATGCAGACTTAAATGTCTTCAACCCATCTGTTACTACGTTAATGTCTTTTAAACCGTTTCACTGTAAAACTTTGTGTGTCGTTGCAGTTAAACAGCCTCCTCCTCTGCGTAGTGCACAAATGAGACACATGAAATGCAACCCCAGTTAGCATGAAGCTTACGAGTGTGTCTTCTGGGTATACTTAAGCTGTTTTCTCTCTTTTCCACAACTGCCAAAAGTGACAAAACAAAACAGTACATTTTCCTTTGAATGCAACAGTTCTTTGTGTTTGTCAGAAGACATCCTGGGCCGATTTCTTTACAAAATGCAAAGAGATGAAACTCAACTCTATCTCATCATTTAAGCCTCGGTGAGAGTGATTTCTTCTAAACTATCAAAGCATTTCATTACAGATCAACACAAACTTTGTGGTGAGTATGAACCAAACTTAAGGAGCTGCTCAGGACACTGTGTGTTGGCTTTGCAACCACACTCGGTCTTGTAAAATATGCAAGACCGAGTGTGAATAAAACTATTAGATGGAGTTTTGAGTATTTCTTTGGCACAAATCAATTCCCAGCTGTCTGCTGTGCACTGCCCTATTTCTCACTGTTTCCCTGCCTCTCATAATCTTATGATTTGTTGCTGTGATTAAGAGTTATTTTGGGAAACTGCCAGTACGAATTGTCACACATGAGCAGAATATATAATCCCTCAATCTGCTATTGTTATGCTGATTACAAAATATTCCCTCCTATTAATAAGTAATCTACAAAGAAGCACTCCGCTGTTGCCGTCTGAACGACTCAGAACTTAGAAATTAACACCCAACGACACCACGCTTTTGGCAAAACGCGCCACATTCATTTATTACGAGTCTTTATAGTGTTTGACTCAGATTTATTTCATTTATTTGATATCATCCCTCACCAGAAGGACCGAGTAGAAGCCTGGCTGGGTCTCCCACTGCCGGAGCTGCTCCTCCGCAGGCTTCAGCACTGCTGTGTCCTGACTGGTAGCTTGGGTTAAGGCCTGCAGCACCACCGAACTGGCACTGTCCATATCCATAGCTGGATATATCTGCAGGGGAACATGAGAGAGGAGGAGGAGGGCGGGGGGGAGAGAGAGAGGAAAAGTAGAATTTAATTGCTCTGCTGGTGAAAAGTTCTGGTTGAGGAGGAAAAACCTTCCAAAATAGTTTCAGTGTAGGGGGAAAAACAACATAATAAAACATCAAGTGCAAGCGGAGGAAAGTCAAATTACGTCTTCAAAAAATGTCAGAACAAGAAACCTTAGTTTCTGCTGCTTTGTCTGGCTGTATCCGTTTCTACCCCGTTTTTATTATAGATCAAGCAGCGTTGAAATCACTGTCAAACACAGGGAGGAAGGGGGAAAAACTCCGTCTGAATAACGAAAAGCATACCTAATAGAAACACTGGCAGTCATCTCTGCCGTGCACGGAGCCGCTCTATGTCCCAGATAGTGTTCGAGCTCCACAGCTTCACACGTCCATCTGAGTTTTTTAGTCTCAAAGGAAGTACCTGACTCAGTCGCCTCCCTGCCTCAAAACACACGGAGGCTCAGATAGAATAATAAACTGTTGCCTAACCAGACCTACATTGAGATCATGAATTCTCCTTTAGGAGGTCATGTCAACATTTCAATGATAGGAACAATGGAAAAACAAAAAATGAGTTGTTTTTTTTAATTAATAGTTCTCCCGACTACAAAACAAACCAACTGTTTCTGAAAACTGCAACTAATCATGTCAAGATACTGCAGTCAGGAAGCAGTTAATTTCACACACAATTTATATATTTTCTAAAAAGAATACACTTTCTATTTTCACAAACCAGAAAGATTAAACATTTTCCTGAGCAGCTGACTATCTGGCGACACCAGTAAAGGCAGTGTGGTGCCAAGAAACTTCCATGACTTGCTTTCAGTCAGAGTAGGAAGGAAACTATTGAGCAAGGCTGCCATCTATAGTCCAGAAACAAACATTCAGCACCACAAAACACTGTGTGCTTGTGTAATTGCATATGAATTAGGGTTCTCTCCCCACAAGAATGCAGCAGCGGTGCTGTCGCTGGAGCTGCTCTTACATAACAGAGACTGATTCTTTTAATAAACAGACTATCAAATATTAATTCTGAACATAAATCTACAAGGAAAACTCTCAAGGTTTTCTATTACCAAGGTGTGATTAGTTTAAAGGTTACACCAGTCTGCTTTCTTGAGGAGATTAATGACTTGTATGAATGTCTGGGGGCCGTCCACATGGAACATTTCCAAGTAAAACAACATCAGAGATAAAAATCCACTGTCAAACTATATAAAGAGTTCATTTACTTTGCGTGCATACTAGTACGACTGGCATGATCAGGTGGCCCAGTTATGCAGTTTATTTCAGGTTTGAGAAGCCTAAACATGTTTGCTGGCCTACGTGAGGCCAGTTCATGCTGTATGTGCGATGAAATCCACCGAGTCCACAAGGGACCACGTAGACTGTCAAATGCTTGTAACAAGTTTGCTTTGAGGAGAGACTGTATGAGACGATTATGTCATCCACACATTCATAATTCATCATTAAAAGAGTTGTAAGTGAAGTAGTTGCTTTGATTTGTATAAGTTTATAATGGATGGTGGCAAAACAGAGCGGTAAGTTTCAGTTTCTCCAGAAATCCTGTGCCACGTCCACCAACTCTCAGCCCCCCTGAAGAATGATCACACTAACACGGTGCTACAGCCCAATCTGTAACCAGCTGCAACATCCTGCAAAACATGCAAAGTCACAGCCAACCTTTCAAAAACATCCATAGGAGTCCACTGTTTTTTCTGTGTTCAATATATTAGGAGCAATGTGAGCGCCTGTGCAACGGACCTACGTGTAAATATTTTTAGGATGAAAACAACTGCATGTGCATTGTGCATGCACTTTCAAAGTCCACACTGGTCATGCAGAAACCATGAAATGGCCTTTAGACAGAAAACATGTCAACACCTACTTAAGGCCCTTAAACAGTTTCTGACGTGTGCAAAGATGCATCTGAAACTACATGCTGTTAATCTGTAAAACTAAAAAATCTGATGATATATAATGCAAGCATGACACTGCAATGAAACTCTAATAAAGAAGATAAACTGTTGTTTTTCATCTTGCATTAATAGTCAATGAAAAAGTTCAGTCCAGGAATGATGGTTATAAATGAAGGAGAGGCCAGGCAGCCAAAACCCAAACACGATGCACTGCAGCTCAGAGAGAGGCTCCATGTGGAGCAGTCAGTGCTTGCAATAACACCAGATACTCCTGTAAATGTAAATAAAATCCAGTTGCAAAAGCTGTTCAACTCAATCGTTTAAAAAAATAGCTGCCTGTTGTGAGTTATATTAAACACATTGCATGTTCTGAACCCTGTATAGCTTACTGTCTATTGTCAAAACACTGAAAGTTCAAGTTTGACATCAGAAAATGTCAAATGCAAGGTCTGCTCTTGAACAAAGCTCAGTAAATTCAGCAAATCAGCATGCAGTATTCATGTCATGTGATACAACCAGACCGCAGTTCTGTTTAGTCTGTAAGATTCTTGGCATAGCTTTAGCCTAAAGTTGTCTATTAATATGGATAATTTGGATAAATGAATAATGATGTGAGACTCAATAAGATGTAAAATGAAAACTGAAGAACTGTGAAACATCAAGTCAAAATCAGTCACATGGAACCTGGAGTTACATGATGAAATGCTGTAAAATAGTTTTGTAGTGACTGGAATCTTCCAAGATACAATCTTATAAATGTTTAATATTGCTCATCAATGCTATATTTCTGAAGCCATTTTTTGCATTTTACTTACATTTATATGTGAAAGAAAGTTAAACATTGTACTTCAAAGACATGTATGCCTGTTACATGACTTTACCCCGCTAACACTAAATTATCTGCTTTTATCTGCTTTTGCCCAAAACTATGTGTTGTAGTTATCATTTTTTGGCAAAAAGCATACTTTAAATTTGAAAAAAAATAAATAAATAAATGTTCACTAAGGGGCTGCAAGGTGGCGCAGTTGGTTAGCACTGTTGCCTCGCAGCAAGAAGGTTGCCGGTTCGGGTCCCGGTGGGGGCACTGGAATCTTTCTGCGTGGAGTTTGCATGTTCTCCCCGTGCAGCATGGGTTCTCTCCGGGTTCTCCGGATTCCTCCCACACAGTCCAAAAACATGTTGAGGTTAATTGGTGATTCTAAATTGTCCGTAGGTGTGAATGTGAGTGTGCTTGGTTGTCTGTCTCTAAGTGTAGCCCTGTGATAGACTGGTGACCTGTCCAGGTTGTCCTCTACCTTCACCATAAGTCAGCTGGGATAGACTCCAGCCCCCCATGACCCTAGTGAGGACTAAGCAGTGTATAGATAATGGATGGATGTTCACTAAAGTATGATTTATGTGTTATTTCATTCTTAAATCAAAACATATGATATTATTGGGAATGCACATTACAAGAGGTATCTGCTTGTTTGCAAAGGAAGTCTTCAGACATACTTAGTAATGATAACTGATCGAGAGCGACGGGTTGAACATCATCAACATTTTCACACAGTGATTTTGGAAGACATTGACTATGCACAATTGCCATGCATAAACAAATAAAATATATTAGCAAAGGAGGAGGAAAATCCACAATGATGATCTACATTACATAAGCAAATATTTACATAGTGGAATACTCCCACAAAATGTCAATAAACAAAGTTCAATGCAGTGTGTTGTTATACCCAAAGAAATGCTGCTAGCACAGAAGTTGCAGGCTGTTTTGGGATGCTCCCATTATCAGGTGAATGGCTTTTTATAAACTTGCACCTCACAGCATCAGCAGTGAGCAGAAACACAGGGGTTATAGCATGCTGCAATGTAATGAATATGAATTGTTCTCACTTGTGAGGAGTCTGGTATTGTGAGAGTTCAACAAACACGTATCTTTCTGTCAGTCCCGTCCATAACCGAGCATAAAGGTCTCACACAAGTAGTAGCTTTGAAGCAAATGATAAATGGTCTGCACTTATATATTTATCCAAAGCGCTTTACAATGTGTTTCTCATTCACCCATTCACACACCAGTGGTGACAGAGCTGCCATGCAAGGTGCTGCCTGCCACTGGGAGCAACTTCAGTGTCTTGTCCAAGGACACTTCAACTGTGGAGGGGCCACGATTGGAGGACAGCCCACTCCACCACCTGAACCACAGTCACCCCTTGAAGTCTCGTTCATATGTTTCAGGTGGAAATTCGCAGTGAATCTCGAGATCATCTCATTATCATTTCCAGTGCTCAGGTCTGATACTTCACTCACAGTACAACAAACCCTCAAAAACGAACAAGAAACTACAGTAAGGTGCTTCCAGTCAGTTTCTACGATCTTCCTAGAACTCCTGTCCAAGGTGGAAGTCTGGTTGAACCATCACACCATCTTTAACTGGAGAAGAATGAACCCACACATGTGCAACATCCACATCCAGCTGGTGTGCCATCAGTTCATTTTTAGCACCACTTTCATGGCAGATGTTCTGACTTTGACAGATGAAAACATAGCAGATTGGTGGAATTCAGCTTTTATTAATTGTATTATGTACACCTGCACTTTTACCCACAGTGACAAATAAAAATGTCCCCTGTGAAAAAGGCCTAGACTGTGCTGTCCAGTTGAAAACAAAATGTGGCACTTGTGCACCTGTTATTCCAATTGCCTGAAAGTCTGACCATGCATGTTGAACATTCGTAGCATAAAACCCATTTTAATACAGGTGTTTTAACCTAAATGGTTAGCAGAGCCTCTGAGGATGGCAGAGGTTTTGCAAACAACGTCAGCTCTTTAGGTTAAACCGGTTGTTGCCTCTGTGACCCAAATGAAACTGTCATGCTAATACGTGAGGTTAATCCAGCGTTAGAGGGCTAAATATCTGTAGATTTGTACATGTCATGGCCTGGTGTCGCTAACACTAGCTAGTTGTCAAATGCTGTGGACAAGTAAGCTAGCGGCGGCAGAAGTTGACCAGCTAACGTATGCTAAATGCTTGCTTTAGCTCCACTAACTAATGCTGAGTTATTCTGTTTTAATCCTACGACAATATACAGCCGTATGGGTTCTGCAGGACATAGGAATGTCGATATGATAAAGATTTCAGCGCCACGAAACAATCACATCTGCTACCAGACGTGCCTGTGAAGTAGGTTGGTTTGTTTTTGAAGCACAGCACAAACCAAAACAAGCTCAGTTATCTGGGGGTCGGATGAGGAGAAGCAATTTTAAACAACTGTGATTCACAACCGACTTTGCTTAGCTCTGTAACATCCACAGCGCAGTCCAGTAGTCCTCTACGAATGGCATCTGCTATTAAAATACCACTGCCGCCCACTCATTAATGAAACGGGGGAGACAGAGTTCCAAATCGTGCACACCCCAAACACCCAAAGCTAACTTTGGGCTAGCTAGCAAGCTAAACTTATTCAATCCCGAAACCAAAGGCCGACAACGTCCGCGGTGTTTAATAGCGTTTCTTGTAGCAAATGTTGCTAAAACCTATACACGAAATTGGACTTACCGTAAAGAATGCCGGTAGAAAACAGAATGTGTGCTTGTAACAGTGGCTGCTAAAGCTCTGCCAATGGTAATGTAATGAGAGATGGAAACACACGCTTGTAGGAATGGCGCGGGCAACGCAGCAGGCGCATGCTGATGACGTGGCAGGTTTAGCAGGTGTCTTTTGTCATGAATGAATGAAGTCAGATTGTTCTCTGCTGCAACATGTGCAGGTGAAACCAATGCTGCAATGGTCCAGATGACCACAGGATTTTTTTTCAACATGTTTTTCTTTATGCACCTTGATGATTTTATTTTATTTTTTTGCTTTTATTGAATTACCAGCTTGATTTACTGCTGGCATGTAAGCCTAATGTCATCAAGCTGTTTAGTCCTGCATTCATATTTTTTGACCACATCTTCTGTTTTTCCACAGTATAGTCCTGCTTGGTCCCTGCTTTCATCTTCACTCTCCCTGTTACTCTGTGCTGAATTTTCCACATTGTCACTGCTGTTTTGTTGGGAACGACCTGCCACTGATAACTATTGAATACTCTGTCAGCTATTTTACAGAGTAAATTCAAAATTATACATTTTCCTATAAAAAGCAAAATGACTATTTAATTTGAAGCAGTTTAATTTTGAGCAATTGTGTATCATTGTGTAATGCTGCACAGTACAAAATGTAAACAAAGGTTAAAAGTTTCTATCAAGCCCCTTAACAAAGTGAAAAGGTTACGTCTATATTGAAGACCAACATGGAAAAGGGGGATATTTTACAAGCATTGAGCAGCTTTGTGATTTTAGTAGTATTAAACTATGAAAATATAGCCAAATTCAAAGCACGACTGACGTTCTTAAGTCATGTGGTGAGTTTGTCAGATGACGTGGTTATAAAGTCAGGATTTTAGCAGCACAGAGCAGCAGCTTGAAAGTAAGTGTTTATTCAGTCACTAACTAATTAATCACATACTCTTTTACATTGTCTGACAGCACAAACAAGAAAAATATGGAAATGAGAACAATTTTACTGGGAATTCAGCTGTATTAAAATCAAGTATACGTGAGCACAGAGAGCAGGAGAGAAGCAATTAGATAAACTTTGCCTCTGTGTCTAATAGCACCTGTATGTTTGCTTTTCAGGTGTTGATGCACTGAAAGCATCTTTTTGTTATCACGCCTATATTTTGAGTTTTGGCAAATTTTTACAAGTCCATTTCTGAACCCATAGCACCAGCTGCAGCCAACCAATGAGTGGAGTCAATAGCAAGTGATATCATGATGGAATAATTATGCAATAATACAGAAAAAAAAAAACATTTGATGTAGTGAAGTGAAGGGAAAAACAAGCGTCAGTCAATAATATTGATGTTGGTGCATTTCCAACATTGCCGTCATTGATTACGGTGACTAATCATAGCAGCTCTAACCTATAGCATTGATAACATGTCAGCGAGTGGTTAACACTGTCAAGCAACATTATTATAATATATATTATAATTGATCCTATTAATAAAAATAATTTGCACTCGCTGTTTTCCTGAAAGGGCTGCAAGGTGGCTTGGTGGTTAGAACCGTTTCCTCGCAACAAGAAGGTCTCCGGTTCGAGGACACCCGGGATCTTTCTCTGTGGAGTCTCCATGTTCTCCCCGTGCAGCGTGGGTTCTCTCCAGGTTCTTCCTCCCACACAGTCCAAAAACATGTTGAGGTTAATTGGTGATTCTAAATTGTCCGGAGGTGTGAATGTGAGTGTGCTTGGTTGTCTGTCTCTGAGTGTAGCCCTGTGATAGACTGGTGACCTGTCCAGGGATAGACTCCAATGTCCCCTCGACCCTAGTGAGGATTAAGCGGTGTATAGATGATGGATGGATGGATGGATGTTTCCCTTAAAAACTCGACAGCATTTCTTCTCCTGTGTTATTGTGAATGCTAGTCACCCAAAACTCTATGTACATCAGATAATGAGTGACCTTTACTGTAAAATAAGACATATATCAGTTTTTCATTTCTTAACTGTCATACTGACATAGTTTAAACTAGTGTATGTAGTCTACTCGTAGTAAAATTCATGAAATTCAGAGAACACTTTATGATTTCTGTGTAGCACCTCAAGATTTCAAGTGGCCCCATCTGGCCACTGATATGAAACATTTCTGGAGGTGCCAGGGATCTCTCTGGATGTGGCTTGCAATCAAGGACACATGTACACAGTTCACACTATATGTGCATGAGCTCTGACATTGAGGCGAGGACACAGCCTTGAGTTTATCAAGTAAACACTGCAACAAGTAAACTTGCTTCTACTGTTGTATAAACAGGACAGAAAAACATCTAGTGGTGGAGACATTCGTATCATCTCGCTGTGGATATTGTTGCATCAATCACCTTTAAACTGCATGATTTTGATTTTGATTTTTTTTTACCACTAGAGGGCAGATAAATGTCAAAGAAGACCAAGAGACACACAGCCCTGAATTTATCAAGTACTAATGACTCATGAATCAGCCAGAATTACTACTTACACAAGCAGAAGCTATTTAACATGAACCTCCAAATGGAATCATGTTTCTACCACTTAACATGTCAGTTCCTGAATGATATGTGGTTCAAGAGAAGAAATTATTCTGCAAGAACCACACATTTCGTTTGGCTCCCTGTCAGAGTGTATGCATTCCTCTTTCCAGTGTGCCACTCACACTCTTCTAAAAACATTGCACAATATCCTCGCTGTGATACGGAGTTCAGTCAGTCCATGATGGTGAATTCAAAGTTTATAGCTATTTTTACAGCATATATTTTTGTAAAGTATCACTTAAGTTGGAAATTTTAACACCCTGCACACACAAGTTTTAACCCTCTAAAACCTTAAACATGCCAGTTGTTTTTTTTTCTCAAATGCCTGAAGAAAGAAGCATTGCATTACCAGTTTTCTGTCAGTTCATATAGTTTGTGGTGTGCGATTTCGTTGGGAAAATTGAACACATTTTTGTTAAAATTTTGCTAAAAATTGAAAAAAAAAATCGAAATGAATCAGAGAGTTTTTGGGCAAACTGGCCTCAACTGCAGGCTGTGTTTGCAAATAGGAGACTAGTCAGAAAAGAAAAAAAATCTAGCATTGGTAACACACAAGTAGATTCCTTTTTTTAAGTTTTGTGTAAAATAAACATCTATCCATTATCTACACACCGCTTAGTCCTCACTAGGGTCACAGGGGCTGGAGTCTATCCCAGCTGACTCAGGGTGAAGGCAGGGGACACCTGGACAGGTAACCAGTCTATCACAGGGTTACACTTAGAGACAGACAACCAAGCACATTCACATTCACACCTACGGACAATTTGGAATCACCAATTAACCTCAACATGTGGGGGGAAGCCGGAGAACCCGAAGAGAACCCACGCTGCATGGGGAGAACATGGAGACTCCACACAGAAAGATCCTGGGTGTCCTCACCAGGATGCGAACCGGCGACCTTCTTGCTGTGGGCAACAGTGCTAACCACTGTTCCACCTTGCAGCTCTAAAATAAGCATTGATATAAACTAAACTTTTCATTTCTCACGATGTGTGGCATCTGTGTTGACATGACAGGAACAAAAAAACACCCATAACTGCTTGGGGTTCAGATGCTTAATGTTTTTTGCACAGTTATCATAAAGTTTATCTCTCCGGAACTCGAGAAAGTGTAAATACTATAAACAACTTTGCTTATTTGCACAGAATCCAAGGATAAGTAACTTACACAGTGGAGGCAAATCTCCATTCAAGAACAGTCCGGTCAAAGGAGGGACATCAGCAAAATGTGACAAATTAAAGTCACAAACTGCCTTTAGATGATTAAAATAAATCAGTTATGTAGTCAAGTGACAGTGTCAGGGAATTTCCAGAGCATGATTTCCTTTGAAAGCATGGTGATTAACACTCCAACCCCTGAGCTCCATCTTTTTTTTCACACTACACTAATCCTGATCATGCTTCACTTGAATTCTGTTGGCATTTTGCCAGCGTGTTCCACACCACCCATTTCACTGGAAGTTGCAGCTTAACTGGGACATCTCATGAGGAATTTAAGAAGGCTTATCAAGTATGTAAAGAAGGGACGTTTGCTCTGCGCCTCTCGACCTTACATTGACTTGCCAGATGTGTACCTCTGATATAAATGACTATGTTTGTACTGAACATTTGACCAGTGATGATGGTGATGGGAGATGTTTGGATAGTTTTGATGATAATATCTTGTGAATTTGCCCTAAATGGCTTTTATTGCCACTCAACCACAGGGTTTTCTCTGAATCCATGAAGCATCTATCTATATTGGATTCATTTCACATTTTGCACACTGAATTGTGCTGTAAATGTCGTTTTGGTGCATTTCTCTGATCAGAATTAAAAGTCTCATAACTGTTATTTCAACCTCACAACATTTAGTCATCATCGTAGCAGTCTCTCATTCCTTCCAGCAAATTACAAATGCTTTTGGACATGCGTCAATTGTTTTCATAGAATTCTCTGCTGTTTTGCAACAACATCATTCCTTATGAAACTAATAGTCCTCACTTCATTGCTTGAGTCACTACATACAAAACTGTTGAACTGTTGAACCAGTTGTCAACATCTGTCAAGCAAATTTGATCCTTTATAAAAAATTTTCCTGAACATGTCTACTAAATTGAACAATTTCTCTCAGGTGAACCTCAGCCTCAACATCTGCTGACTTTTTTAGACACTTTGACAAAATCCCTGAGAATGAGAGAACTGGTGACCATCTGATCCAGTAAGTTGTTGTTTGGGATAACGTACATTTTCACCGCTCAGATGTGGTCAGACTGTGGTTTGCTGCACATGAAACGATGCTGGTGGAATATCTCCCTCCCTACTCCCCATTCCTAAATCCAACAGAGGAGTTTTTCTCTGCCTGGAGGTGGAAAGTATATGACCGGCATCCACATGCCCAAATGGCCCTGCTAGCAGCCATGGATGCAGCATGTGATGACATCACAGCTGAGTCCTGCAGAGGGTGGATTCGCCACTCGAGGAGATACTTTCCTCGCTGCATTGCAAGGGATGATATTCACTGTGATGTACATATGAAAATATCTGACCAGACAGACAGACAGGAAGGCCTGGATGTGCATGAATGATTCACAGCACTGTGCATATTGTACGTTCACTTCCAGTGTGTACTGCAATATTGTTAACAGTTGCTCTCAGCTCTATCCAAAGGGTGTTTCTTATGCTTGTTGTTAACAAGTGTGTATTTTTCTTTTGCACAATACTGTGAACAAATTAGAATTGCAAAGATCACATGCAGTAAAAATGTGTAAATACTTACATTTTTATACTCATTTTATACTTATTGTCACTTGTTTATTTTTTTATATACATCTATAGGTTCTAAAAACGTCTTGTTTTTATCTTGCACAGTTAATTTATAGTTGTTCTTTGCACTGAATGGGATTGCACCCAATTTCGTTGTAGTGTTTTTGGTATCATGACATTAAAGGATTCTGATTGTGAAACATACATATTCAATGTCTTGTACTCAGTTACCTCACTAAATACAATAATGTGTAACTTTACTGTAGTTTCCAAATGACTGTGCAAATCGTGTGTAGTGCTGTCCTGAGCATTTTTAAGTTGTGTCGCCAAGATCTGACTTTTTTGTATTTGAAAACACTTACAGAGCAAACTGTCATCATGAAAACATGCCGAAGCCATATGACTATCTTGTTCATAAAAAATGGTGTCAGGACTTTTCATCTTCATCTTCACACTTTTGCAGGTTGTCAACTAGGTTTTGCAGCTTCTACTAATTGTTTTGAGAAGTGAAATAACTGTTGTGCAAATGTGATGTGAGAAATGCACCAAAGCAACTGAGAACAACTGTATTTTAAAGGGATCAAATTGGGATTTCTCCATGAATCACTCAATAATCCAAAGATGGCATTGTGAAAACATACTTTTACATTTTATTTTGCAATTTTATTAAAAATTAAAAACTAAAATGTCTTGTTTAAAAACATATTCAGACACGGTGACACTGTGGCGCATCTGTGCCAAATGGAACGGCTTGCACAGAGTTATGTAAGCTACACCCCTGTTTACTAAAGTCTCACTTTTCACACTGTGTGTCGGGACAAACATCAAGTCATGAGGACAAAGAATTCTCTGTCGACCTGCAAGATGAAACTGTGGTGAGAGGCAGATCAGAGGAAGGATACAAAACCACTTGTAAAGCCTTGAATGGTCTCAGGAGCACACTGACCTAAATAACTGGGACATGAAAAATGCATGAAACAGTTATGATTCAGCTTAGAGTTGGACGTCCAACCAATGTAGGACCAAGCAAGAAGGGAGGTGACGAAGGACTCATCTCTATCTTAGCAGCAGCCCAACAATCTGATTGTTGTGACAACGACACACATCACTTTCTGTAAAAGGCACATTGCACCCTAACGTCTGCCAAGAGGCATCTGAGGAACACTGAGTGTGCAACAAAAAAGACCCTATGATCTGCTGAGTAAAGCACCGACTTGTTTGGGCAGGACTACAGACAGTAAGTCTAGTGAAACAAGCAATGGTGACAGCACCATGCTTCGAGGGTGCTTCTCAGCTGCAGGGACAGGGAGATAGAGCAAAATGAAACAAATAATGAATGTATTCAAATAAATGCATCCGATTGCAAAGAGGTCCTTGAAGAAAATCTGCTCCAGAATGTGTGTGACGTGGGATGGAGTTGACAGTTAACCTTTCAGCGCCACGATGAACCAACGCATGTGGCCAGATCAACGCTGGAGCGGCTTCAGGACAATTGTTCAACTGTTCACGAGTGGCCTGGCGCTCTCAGTCTCAGACATAAGCCCCATATAATATCTGTTGAGATATACGGAGATGGCAGCTTACAGAGTTTTCCTCTCCAGTCTGGCAAACCTTGACAGGACCTGTCAGGAAAAATGGGATCAACTGTCAAAATCCAGGCATGCAAAGCCTGGAGGGACTTACCAAGAAGACCAACCGGTAATTGCTGCCAGATAAATCTTCACATAGCATTAAATCAAAGGTTTGAATGATTTGTTTTAGGAAATTTGAAAAACATGTTGTCATTAAAAGATTAGTAAGTGCTAATTAATAGGACTTTTGTTCATTTAAAATTAAAGTAACAACCTCGAAAATGTCCCTTCTGTAGTTTTCGTGGCACCGATGGCAATCAGCAGCTACTGCAGTCATGCTTTTGAATCTCACCTGTGCGATGTGTTCAGACTGTTGGCAGTTGGAAAAAAACACAGCTTACTTCTTTACACACAGGTGAGTTGCAGAGCAAGTCTGTGTGTGGCAACGAGATACCTGTGTGAGGTAATGGGACCCATGTTTGCAGCTTTTGTGCAGGAATGCTATCACTGAGGACTTTCATAGATAGATAGATAGATAGATAGATAGATAGATAGATAGATAGATAGATAGATAGAGGTGTATTTGCACACAAGTCAGAGATCGAGTGTGTGTGTGTGTGTGTGTGTGTGTGTGTGTGTGTGTGTGTAAATGGGAGTGTCCTCTGACTGGGTTATTCCCTCTTTATCACTGGACTAAAAACTCTTTCTTACAACAGACACAGACACAGTCGAGCTTAAATCTTGAGTTTGCTGCACCACAAGAAGCAAAGCATGGATTTGATGGAGCTATTTTTCATCTCTCTCGGTGCAGCTGTTGTTGTCTACTATGGAGTCAAACTGCTGCTTTTCAGTAGGATGCTTTTTCCAAAGCTGTGGTTTCCACTGCAGAAAACCTTCTTCACCTCTATGGGCGAGTGGGCAGGTGAGCAGAGTGTGTGTGTGTGTACTAGTGTATGTGCATATGTGTGTGTGTTTATGTTGATACTGCATATAGGGTTTGGAATATACAGCATCAGATGCAATTTAAATGCCAATTATAATACCTGCTGTGATAAAAAGACTTCATCTGTGTATTTATTTATAGCTTAATGAGCAATGTGAGAAAAAGTGCACGTGGCAGAATCTGTCTCTACATGCATGAGACACTAAACAAACACAAAAGTTTACTTAAGCTCAGTCATCAATGAAGAGAATTGGGCTGCACAACTGAAAGAAACAGATGATTAGCCGGTGCTTCTGACTTGTTCAGACTCTTCACTGTTACACAAGGTTGTAGTTGTGTAATGTTTAACCCAAAGAAGCAAGTCCTGGCTTTGTTCATGCCTCCTGAACAGCTGCTCACATTTGCTAAAAATATGTCAGTGTGCCTAATTGCATCTCAGATTCATTTGTAAAGCAGCGCTGTATCTGCAACCAGCTTAACCGACATTATTTCTGAGTTCACTTATTCTTAGATTCATTGTCTAAGTGCAGAGCGTTCTCTCTGTGTGGTTTACGGTTAAATAATAATCACATGAAAGGAGGGGAAACAAGTGGAACCGGATAAAGAGAACACTACAAGTGCACAATAACTACTAATGACAGTACACACTGCATTGTTTTGCTAGAACACTCAAGCATGAAGTGCCTTCAGGCTAATTTGACAATGATAAGAAAGACCCCGCTGCATAATCCAAATGCTGCATCAAATCCTACTCGTCACCTTCCTATAAGCTTGAAAAGAGTGCGGGGACACAGTCAGCCCCGGCTCGCATCTGTCTTCTCGTAGCATTCCTCCGCAGGTCCCAGCGCGGTCTCAGCCGACTTAAGAGACTTCCTTTGGCATCTTCTGAAGAGGTTATTCAGTCTCCCACAGTGCTAAAAGAAGCCCTGTGAAAAACAGAGCACTGGGCTGATCTTTCTTTCTTTCAAAAGTCCACCTTCATTCCATTCCAGCACAGAGGAAAAAACATCAGAACAGTGTGTTCTGGGGCTGACTAAACCACGTCCCGCTGCATTCATTTCCCTCGACCGCATTTGCATCACTTTATGCTCCTCGCTGAATTGTCTTTTCAATTTCAAGGTGGCTAAAACGTATTGTAGGGTATCTGCGTAAGCTGATGATAACATATACTGTGTGTTACATGTATGTATGCACGTGTATGTCTCTATCTTTGCTCGTGCAGAACTTAGAGGTAAGAACTTGGGGCAGGTGTCAGACCCCGATTTGACCCTTTTCCACTGGGATCTTATAGGCTCAACCATGACGTTGACTCAAAGTGTGCCAAAATAACAGGAAACAGTTGGATGTAAGTTCAGTTGACTCATTGGAAAAACATTGGATGTTAGCCCAGTTGGCAAATTTTACATAATCAGTGGCGATATTCGAAAGGAGAAGGACAGAAAAAAATGGTGCTTCTCCCCTCTGAGATTCATTTTTTAGGGTGGAGACCCACGCAGCACTTTTCAGAGGACACATAGAAACACCTACTCTGGAGTAGGAACTGTTTTCTTTCCCATCAAAGAGGTTCCACAAGGGCGGTTCATGCACAAAGGTTCAGATTGCCCTAAAATGGCCCTGCAGGGGAAAAACATCCTGCTGGTACCTAAATGAAAACATCGGTGGCAGAGGTATCAAAAAAGAATAAATCTTGCAGTCCATGTCATTTTATGTTAAAAAAAAAAGATAATCTTTTCTTTTCTTTTTTGATTGTAATTTCATTTAACAGTGACCAGCAGGAATCACAGCATGTCTTTCTCTTTGTGCATCTCTCTCCCTTTGATGAAAGGCCTCCACGGGCTGTTGCAGTTCACAGAATTCATTTGCATGAGGAAAATGTCAGAGCAATGTCTGAGACTCTTTTGAAAACGGTCTGAAGGCAGATTATTCTCAACTTGTTCATTTAATTCACAGAGTTTGACACTGAAGAACTCTAACATTGTAAAGCCATATTTTTTTTATGACTGTTTGAGATTGTAGTACCTGTAATGCGTCTCCTGTTACACCGTCTACAGATGTATAATGAGGGTTTTAAATGACGCCCATGTCATTATGGCTTTTCTTTTATTGCTACAATTACTAATATAATGAGCGTTGCAAACAACAGCCACTGAGGAGCACAAATGAGCTCACCTAACTTGTCTGAAAGGAAACGGAACAGTTATTTGGTTGTGGAACTTCTCTCATAATCTAAATCCAGTTACCATAGAAGTCACGAATGAGCACATATGTAGAGGTTGGATATCTGATATCAGCAGAATGTGCAAGGTGGGCAAGATGCTCATCTCCCCAGACATGTCTTCCAGGTCCTGGCATGTTGTTGCCATATCTTGGTGGAATATCTAATCCTTTCAGTGTGTTATTGTGTGATGGGATCTTCTCCCACTTTGGCATTTCTCCACAGGGAGGCACTTTGATTAAGGGTTTCTGTAACCTTCTCAGGCCAAAATTAGCTCATAACTAGCTGAGTTAGGACAAACTTCTAGGAATAAATGAAAATATCAGTCCTAATTTTAGGAGTCCTACGTTTTTAGTGCAGTTCATGATGTCATGTCCCTGCAGCCTCGGCCCCTTCTCTCTCCGGCTCGCTCTCTCTCCGGCGTCCCAGCACGCAGGCAGGTGTGCCTGGTTACCAATCTGCTGACTGGTACGTGGGGATTGGTCCGCTCCAGCTGCGACCTCCGGTCTGCTGGTATTTCAGCTCCGGCCAGACAATGCTCCAGTGCCACGCCGTCGAACCATTCACCGGTTCTGCCACCATCACCATTCCACTCCTGCCACTGAAACCGGATTCTCCACCTGTCACCTGCCCGCTCTCATCCACTCGTCAGTCCCGACGCCGCTCCACCACTGCGGCTCCGTCAGCTCACCAGCACTAGCTCCGCTCACCTTTCCCTCCCTGGATTCCCTGGCGTCCGCCCCCGGTCTCCGCCTGCCTCTCCACCGCAGCCGCGGCAACGCCGACCCCTGTGCACCACCTATCCTCCTCCCTGCTTCCCCTCTCTACTCGGTCGGCTCCTGTCAGGTCTGGTTCTCCCAGCATGGGTTTTGCTAGCCTCATAAATTAGCCTCTTGTTTTAGCGTCAGTGCTCTGCCAGTCTGTATGTCGCGTTAGCTTTTGAAACTTCCTCTAGTCTACCTGTCCAGACCTTCTGTTTCTCCTCGCTCTGAATTAAGTCCGCCAGTCTGTGCGTAGCGCTAGCTTTAGAGATAGCGTTTTGTCTGCTAGCCCTTTCTGTTTATTATTCAGTTTCCTCGTTAGCCCCTTTTGGTGTCCTTTTAGTTGCTCCGCTGTTTAGTCTAGGTTTGGTTTCCCGGTTCCCGACTCGGTGGTGCCGAACTTGGGTCCGTGTCTTAGTTCTTTTGTTCAGCCAACCACTAACAGGTGTAGTTTGCTCTGCCTGCAAACCTCGAGTTTTGTACTTATTTTCCTGTGTGTACCAATAAATTACTGTTTAAACTGCCTGTCTGCGGTGTCATGTTGCCTCGCGCATGAGTCTTCGAATTTCGAACCGTCCCGTAACAGTACGGCATGGCCAAGACGAACTCAGCAGGCAACATGACCGGTTCCGACTCAGCCATGACAGGTAGCTCGATGCAGCAGACGATAGCCAGCCAGAGTGCTTTAGTCAATCGCCCTGACCAAGTCATTAAAACTCTGTTAGATGTTAATAAGGCCCTGACCAGTAAGATTAGCATCCTAACGGATCAGTTAACGGCTCTGTCGCTCAGCCACCGGCCTGCCAACACCCGTTCTGCCCGTAAAGCAGATAGCCTTCGGCCTGCAGGCCCTGAGCTCCCTCACTGTAGGGTGGGGGTGGTGAGCCTGCACCCTATTAGAAACCCTGGACCGACCGCCCCAGGACGTTAACAGACACATCCTGCCACCACCCACAAACCCCGCTACCACTTCTCCCCCTGAACTTTCCACCGTTGACTGCAAGTCTCCCTTCTGGGGAATCCGCCAGGCCATTAAAACGCCACCCAGTGGCAAGCGGGGTTCCCGACGCAGAGGAGGCCCCCAGGCAACTCCCGTCAGTATATCATCCAGTGAACTGACCTCATTTTTATTGGACAGAGCCCTGGGTCTCGATAATTTTGAGGCAGTCGCACCCAATCACCCACCTGATTTGCTCCCTTTGAGTCCGAGGAGCCACTTCCCGGAAGACGTTCCAGGAAGAGGCAGGGCTCCCGGCAACGCCAGACCTCGCCGCTCCCCAGCACCCCGAACGCCACGCCCCCCAGCACCGCCGAGGTACCGCCGCACCGGTCCGGTATCCTGGCCATTCCTGGGCGAGTCGACGCCGCCACAGAGCCTGCTCCAGTTCTTGGGCGAGTCGACGCCGCCACACCTGATCCTGTCCGTGTCCTCGAGCGGGTCGACGCCGTCTCGACCGATCCTGTTCCCGAGCGGGTCGACGCCGTCTCGACCGGCTCGAGAAGC